GGTCCTTGGAAAATGGCCTTCCCTACCGACCCAGTGACAAGAATCAAACTGATCAGGGAAGACATGAAAGAATGCCAGGGGAGACTCAGAAGAGGATAAGAAAAGTTAGGAAGCATTGTAAATAAGAGAGGCAGGGCATCCTCGATATTTGCAAGGCTGAGGCAGGAGGGTGCACCTGAACTACAAGTGAATTCAAGGTTGGTGTGCAACTTAGTGAGACTCTGCCTCAAAACAAAAAGGAGACGGAGAACTGGGATGTAGCTCAGTGCTAAAGCGCTTGTTCGGCAGGAACAAAGCCCCAAGTTCCATTTCTGGTACTCCAGTACCCTAACAAAAGGAAAATGAGATGAAGGACACATTGGGAAACCCCACAGAGAAGGAGATGGGAAAATTACAGATGTCCACCCTCTCCACTCTTGCTCCCTATGGGAGCCATGGAGAAGTAGCAGGCTGGACCAGCTTTGCCCACGTGGCTGATTCTGGAAGAGGTTCACCCTGGATTTAGCTAAGACTCACCTATACCTATAGGAGGGTAAAGGAGGGCTGAGGACAGGTGAGACACCTCCAAAAGCCCAGTCCTAGGCTGATGGCCAGGACCTGGACAAGGGCTTCCACAGAACATCCAGGTTATTCAGAGAAAATGGGACCTTGAACAAAGGGAAAGCCACATGACTGTACTCTGCCACCATGACGCTTGGGTAACAAGGAGGTATCCTACCTCCTCACTTTGTCATGCTTTGTTAGTCTTCAATATCCAAATAAACATGAATAGCCAGAATTTAGTCACAGACAGACAATGGTAAATCAGTAAGGGAGGTTGAGAATGACAGCTACCCCCTCACCATCACTGCCATTGTCTTTCCCTGTGACCTCAAGCGTCTTGTGAAGTTTCTTTTTTTTTTTTTTTTTTTTTTTTTGGTTTTCTGAGACAGAGTTTCTCTGTGGCTTTGGAGGCTGTCCTGGAACTAGGTTTTGTAGACCTGGTTGGCATCGAGCTCACAGAGATCCACCTGCTTTTGCCTCCCAAGTGCTGGGATTAAGGGCGTGTGCCACCAACGCCCAGCTCTTGTTAAGTTTCTTAATAGCAAGTTTTTTTTTTAATTATCTTCATGGCAACTGGAGAGGTAGTTCAGTGGTTAAGAGGACCAGCTGCTCTTCCAAAGGACCTGGGTTCAATTCTCAGCACCCACATGGTGGCTCACGACCATCTATAACTCCAGCTCCAGAGGATCCAATTTCCTCTTCTGGCTTTTGAGTGCACCAAACACCCAAGTGGTGCACATAAACGGAGGCCAAATGCCCATACACATATTCATAAAATAATTTTAAAAATAGCTTCCTGGCCTGTGGAGGTGGATCAGTGCTTAAGAATACTTGTTGCTTTTGCAGAGGACCCAGGTTCAGTTCCTATCATCCGCACGGTGGCTCACAATTATCCATAACTCCAGTGCCAGGGGTCTTCTGATCTTCACAGGTAAAGGCACATACATACATGCAGGCAAAACATTATAAGTCTAAAAAATTTTTAATTAATTTCACAATACAGCATAATGATCTATCTCCCCAGTGTGTGTGTGTGTGTGTGTGTGTGTGTGTGTATGTGTGTGTGTCAGAGAGAGACAGAGACAGAGACAGACAAACAGACAGACAGACAAAGAATTGGCCCTCATGAATATCAGGCAAGAGCACTCTACCACTGAGCTATATCTTAATAATGTGTGTGGGGGAACAGGTCTTTTTTCTTTTTCACTCTGCAAGGTAAACTTAGTTGACACGTTTCACTAGATGAATAAATTCCTCAGGAACCAATACAGAAAGAACCTTTTTTCTTCTCACAGTTTAAAGCAATTTCATTCAATTCTGTGTCATCCATTCATTCTCCACTCTCTGAAGTAAAATGTGTTTACACAGGGCTTTGTGTGTACCAAGTACTGCAATGGGCATTAGGGAGGAGCTCAGGCAAGACAGACCTTAGTTCTAGGTGGAACTCACTTTCCAATGGAGAGAGTGACACTAGCCAAATGGAATCTAGAAACAGTGAGAGGAAGGTTCCAGAACAGCCAAGAGAGTGATCTCAGGCTGGGCTGGGCTGGGTGGTCTTTGAAGTCTGGAGAAATAGGAGGTCTCAGACAGGGAAGGAAGGGTGCAGGAGCTTTCCCGGCAGTGGAAACAATCTTCCCTGGGGCGGGGGCAGAGGCCAGGAAGCACATACGATGGAGCTTTTCAAAGGCTAGAAAGGAGGCAGTGTGGCCGTCATGCCAAAAGCAAGTGACCAAAGCTGTGGAAAGGATGGGGAAGAGTGTAGCAGGATGGATGGTGGCACTGAGAATTTGTCCAGAAGTGAGTCTAAGCAGGAGGGTGGCAGGTATGGCTGATCAAGGATTCATCCTGGCCATTGACAGGAAGCATGCATCAGTGTGCAAACTCCAGTTGGGAGGCAGGTGTAGAAAGCCAGGAGAAAGAGCATGGTCTGAGGTGAAGAGCTGAATTCTTCAGTCAACTGGCTGTACACATCAACACCACCTGTATTTGCACTTCAGAAATGGAAGGGCCAAGTGGGGCATGTGGATGGAAGTGACCATGTGTCCAGATATGAATTACATGGAGGAACCTCTCTGACTGACAGATTCCTAGGATGGGAAAGGATATTCTTAATATCTCCCAGGTCTGAATTTGTCTTCACCATTCCCTGCCAAAGGGATCCCTGAAGGAGGCCTCCTTCCCCTATGTGGGGAGCCCCCTTCACCTCTCCCTGAAGAGTTCACCTAAAGGTGTGAGTTCTGGCTCGTGAAGTGAGGGACGGACTATCCACAGGACACCCTCTGTTCACACCATTCCACACATACAAAGATTTGATGATCCCTTTACTGCAAGTTTTGGGCATCATTCTATATGGGCCAAGCTAATTAAGGCTATAGATGCAACTCTAATCCTATAATATTGTAATTATCTCCTTAGATCATATGTCTAACTCCGCATACACATGGCTTTATGTGTGGGGTTATATTACATGTTCATGTGGGTACATGTACATGTGTGCAAGTGCTCATGCTCCTTTGTGTGTACAGACTTTGTGTGTATGTGTGTGTGTGTTATGTATGTGTACATGTGTATGCAGGCATATGCACCTGTGTATGAATGTAGGCCAGAAGAGGATGGCAGGCATCCTATTCTATCATTCTCTACCCACTTGAGACAGGGCTTCTCACTGAACCTGGTGCTAAGCTGGTGGCCAACAAGCCCCAAGGGATCTTCCTGTCTTTCCCCCACTCTCCACAGCCTTAGGGTTACAGGTGTGGGTGCCACGGCTAGGTTTTGGTGTGGATGCTCTCTTTACCCGCACAGCCATTATCTAACCTCTCTCCACATTCTCTTGAGACAGGGCCTCTCACTGAACCTGGAACGCATCAATTTGCTTTGGCTGGCTGGTCAGTGAGTTCCAGGAATCTGTCTGTCCATCTCAAACAGTCCTCCCAGCACTGAGGTTACAGATGGGCGACACCATGGCTGACTTTTGATACTGGCGCTGGGATCAGAAGGTAAATCCTCATGCTTGCCTGCTTGGCAGGCTCTTTACTAACTGAACTGTCTCATCAGCCCTCCCTGAGGCTTTTACACTGATGCCACTGAGAACTGATTTCCACCCCCACTTTCTCTGGTGCCAGAGATGTTGGGGTACAGTTCAGGCAAATGTTACCCATATCCTCATCTAGTGAATTCCCTCTCTCCATCTTTTAATTCTCCCCACCAGTATCATTTAATAAGCTGGGACCATTATGACTAAAAGCCCCAAACACCCCTTGGCACCTTATCAATAAGGTTCCTACCGGAGGGGTCGTTAAGAGTAGGACCAGGATGAGAGAATTGTTGCCTTCATTTCCCATTCTGTTCTTGCAAACAATGGGAGGGAAGACCAATTCATTCCAACTGATAGCCTGTTGACCATGCCACACTAGAATAATTTAGTTCTTTCTTCAATGTCACCAGTAAACAGTCCCCTCCCCTAATCAGCCCTTCAAGATACCAAAGTGGCCATTGGGCTTAATCTTCTGGCCACTGCCAGACACATGGTGTCATCTCCCTCAGGTCAAGCCACAAATCGGGGCTGAACAGCTGAACTATGTCCCCACTCCAGCTCAAGAAATGAAATATGAAACACAGTCACATCTATCCCAGCAGTCTCAACAGGTCTGGTTCTGGGTGGTTCTCACCAGAACTTCCAACCTCAACAAAACCAGAGACACCCAGTGTCTCTGAGGGGCACACCATCCATTCATCATGCGTGTCCCATAGACATCAACGAACGATGAAGTTTTTAGCTAGGTTGCAGGAGGACAGAGGGGATCCCTGGAAGATGAAGTTTAAAGAGAATTTTTACTTAAATGCATGCAGGGAGACGCGATAGAAAAATCTAGATGCTGGCCTCAGGCACAACGTTTTCATGTACCAAGGGGACTAGAGGCCTCCTCCACAGGTGGGGACCGCCACGGCCTCGTGGCTCTGTGGATAGTATAATAGCTTATAGAGAGGCTCGGAGAGGTAAGACTTAAACAGAAGCAACACCATCTGAGCAAAGTGGAGCCAGGAGGAAGAAGGGGAATCAAGAAAGCCTGTGAGTGGGGGGCAAGGGAGAACCTGGGAGGGGGCTCAGACTCTTCTTATGTTCTTTTCTGTCAAAGGCTGGCTAACTTGTTTCAACCTGGCACCCGCGTGGCCCAGAACAAAAGCGCTCGCCTGGGCCTCCGCGTGGGGAGAGGGACCGCGCACATCTTACAGTGCACAGGAGGCAAGCAGGTCAGCTGCTGCTCACAGAGGGGGAAGCCCAGGGGTGGGATTCGGAGAGGTAGGACAGTGTGCCACCACTGTCCCCATCCAGCCTGGCATACGTCTGGCGCAGATACTGGTGTCCTGAAGCACTCTCAGGGCTGACAGAGATTCAATCTCAAGAACCCAGCAGGTGGTCACGCTCCAAGTACGGGCGCAGCACGGTGCCACTTTACCTGAGCGCAGAGGATCATCCGGAGAAGCCATGAAGACCGAGAGACGAGTGTCGGGGCGGGACTGGGCAGCCTCTGGGACCCAGAGAACAGCAGGATCGCCAGGACCCAATCTCCTGCTGTGGCAATGCGCGATTCTAAGGCTCTGTGCGCAGCCCTGCTGCTGCTCCTTCTCCTTCCGTTTCTCCTTCTCTTGATCTCTGCCACTTCTTCCTCGTGCTCACTTCCTGCAATTAGCAAAGCCCCTTCCCGGCGCGAGCGTCTCTCCAGAAGTCTAGAGAGGATCCCGTGGTTGCGGTTGGCACGAGAAGACCCGGGGGGCCCGGAGCACGTTTCCTGCCGGTACCTAGGGCCTAGTGCGCAGGTCCCTCGACCCCGGCACACGCGATCGCAGCTGGAAGGGCCTTACAGCCAACCTTGCACCCGCTGCCACACGCGCGGGTGGCTTTCCTGGTTCCTAATCTTGCCCTCAGCTAGGACACCAAAGCGCTCCCAGCGAGCTTCTTGCACAGGCCTGGGCTAGGACGCCTGCCGGCGATCTGATGTTTGAACAGTTTCCTAATCTTCAGGCAGCCTGAACGGCTGCATGACCGCACACGCTAGCACTTTCTATTTTGATGTTTCATTGGCATTAGTTACTGCCTGACCTCCTTGGTGAGTGCTACACAAAGAATCGGGAAGAAAAGCCAGTCACAAGGTCTTCTGCTCACTCTTCTGGAGAAAACAAAACAAACAAACAAACAAACAAAAAAAACCAAAAACTCAAAAACAAACAAAAAAAAAACTCCACAGGGCAGAGTTCTGTCAAAAATGCAGAATCCACTGGCCCTTGAACGAATTGAGATTTAGTTTAAGTGGGATTTTATGCTAAGTGAGCAGAGAATGTGATTGTTTAAAATGGCTTTATTTCTATATCTTTATTTTAAAACTTAAAAAAGTTATTTTTAAACCACATGGGGCGTTATTTACACGTGAACGCAGTGCCTACGGAGTCCAGAAGAGGGCGTTGGATCCCCTGGAGTTGGAGTTGCTAAGACCTGAACTTGGGTCCTCTGCAAGAACAATAAGCACTCAATGTTAAGCCACCTCTCCAACTTTAGTGGCGGTTTTTCACTAACTGTATCTGCCATGTACAAAGGTTACAGACAATTTAAATTTAATAGGAATATCTGAAAGGTATCACATAATCTACATCTGCCCTTGAACAGAATCATAGCACTATAAAAAGAAGTTTAAAGCAGCCAGCAGTCAGGGAGATAGTTCAGTAGAAGGTTGCTTGCCTGACATGGATAGGCCCTGGGTTTAAAAGCCTAGTACTGCAAAAATAAAAAATGTTTAATTAAAAGTTCATTTTAAGCCCTGCCTGATGATGGGTGCCTCTAATCCCAGCATACAAGAGTTTGAAACCAGCCTGGAAAAAGAAAGTGTTTGTGGGGTATGTGGGCATTATGGGGTGGGACTGGGTCTTCAGAGAAAAGGCTGCAATAAAATGTGGGACTGTGCGGAAGGGAAGATCCCAGTCCTCATCAGAGCTCACGGAAGACAGAAATTATTTTAGAAAGGGTATTTTCTCAGGGAATCTATTCTGAGGTTTGGTTTGTGGTTTCTTCTGTACTTCACATGAAAATGGAATTCGTTTCTGAGGTTTGATTGTCAGGAACCACATACCAAGTTGGGTTGTTTTGTTAGCACAAGATCAAGTGGTTTGTTTTTCCAAACGATATTGTAAGTAAGTCTTCTCATGAGACCCACCCTTCACTGAATAGATGATGATTTTAAAAATGTGTGTTGTCTTTCTCTCTCTGTGTATGCCCATGGGTGAGTGTGTGCCACGGTAGCAAATGCAGAGGTCAGAGGGTAACTTGTCCAAATCATTTCTCTCCTTCTACCATGTGGGTCAGGGAGATCGAACTGAGGTCATCAGGCTGGACCTCAAGCATCTTCCTTTACCTGCGGAACCTAGCCTCATTGTTTCTCTCTTCCCTTCTCTTCTCTCTTCTTGCCCTTCCCTTCCCTTCCCCTCCCCCTCCCTTCCCTTCCCTTTCCCTTTTCTCCCTTTCCCTCCCCTTCCCTCGCCTCCCCTCCCTCCCTGGCCCCTTTCTCTTCTCCTTTACCTCCTTCTTCCCCTTCTTCCTCCACCTTTTTTGAGACAGTCTCACTCTGTAGATAAGGCTAGCCTCAAACCTCTTCCCAAATGCCTGAGCCTCAAGAATTCTGGGATTATAGTGAATGTCCACCAGACTAAGATTAATTTAATTAAAAAAAAACTTTTATGTTTGGGGTGTTTGCCTGCATGTAAGTCTGCGTACAACATGTCTGTAGTACCTTCAAAGGCCAGAAGAGGGCATCCAACACCCTGATACCTGAGTTACAGTTGTGAGCTACCATGTGGGTGCTGAGAATCAAACCCAGTCTTCTGGAAGAGCAATCCTTAACTGCTGATCATTCTCTCCAGCCCAAGGATATATTGGTTTTTCAAGACAGGGTTTCTCTGTAGCTTTGGAGCCTGTTCTGAAACTCACCAGGCTGACCTTGAACTCACAGAAATCTCCCTACATCTGCCTCCCAAGTACTAGGATTAAAGACATGCACTACCATCTTCCTGCTCTTTTTTTTTTTTTTTAAGAAAAATGGATCTGCTATTTTAGTGTGATTCTTTGGCTTCCTTTCTTATTATAACTGAAACTGCTGCCATCATCCTCTATTTTTCCCCACATGTTTTGTGATCAATGAAGTATACTAGATAATAGGATCTATTATATTTTTAGTATACAAATTAGTAATTAACAATATCTCTCACCCTCTCAAGTTCCCATGCAGTCTGTTTATTGTCATATTAGACTTCTCAGGGACTGCTTCTATTGCTCCTTGTGGATGCCTGGGAACAAAACTCAGATCCTCTGTAAGAGTAGCAAGTGTTCTTCACTGCTAAGCCACCTCTCCAGCCCCTAAAATAATATTTTGTTACATTTGCAGATTTGCTGTGTGTGTGCGCATGAGCTTGAATGTATGTGTGCACATGTGGAGGCCAGAGGACAGTTTTCAGGAGTCATTTCTCCTTATCCCTGTGGATCCTGATGCTAGGACTCAGGGCATCAGACTCAGCAGTAAACGTCTCTAGCACTGAACCATCTTGTTGGTCCTTATACCTGTAACCTATACCCAAACCTCATCAGTCTTGAAGTCCTTTGTTACGTTTCATATTTCCATTTTTATTGCTTTTTGTTTTGGTTTTGTGTATGTGTGGTTGCTTTATTTGAGGGGTGGACATCGCATGTGTCTTAAGTGCTTGGACATGAGAGGCCAGAGAAAGATGTCAGGGTTCTTCCTCTATTGCACCCTCTCTCCTTCCTTCCTTCCATCTTTCCTTCCTTCCTTCCTTCCTTCCTTCCTTCCTTCCCTCCTCCCTCCCTCTCTCACCTCCCTTCCTCCTTTTCTCCCTTCTTTTCCTAAGACAGTGTGTCTCTCTGAAGCTCATGATTCTGGTTAGGCTGGCTGGCCAGCAAGCTCCAGGATCTGCCTGTCTCCACAGGTAGTTGTGGCCATGCCCAGCTTCTACAGGAGTGCTGGAGGTTTGAATTCAGGCCCTTTTGTTTTTATAGCAAGTGCTCTTACCCACTAGACCATCGCTCTAGCTCTTTGGTTTTTTTGAGATAGGATTTCTTTGTGTAGCCTTGGCTGTCCTGGAACTCACTCTCTAAACCAGGCGGGTCTCAAACTCATAGAGATCCCCCTGTCTCTGCCTCCCAAGTGCTGAGATCAAAGGTGCACACTACTACTACATGGTTCTTTTGGGGGAGAGGGTTTTTTTTGGTTTGTTTGTTTGTTTTGTTTTTTGCTTATATATTGAGAAAGTGTCTCATGTAGCCCAGGCTGGCCTTGAATTCTCTATGTAGCTGAGGGTGACCCTAAACATTTAATCTTCTTACCTCCACCTCTGAGCTTACAGGCATGTGCTGCTATGCCCAATGTTGCTGCTTTTTAGCTTTTAAGTTGGCCTGCATTTGTTTTATTCTGACTTGGTTATCTCGGAGCCAAACGAGCTGGCGTTGACTCTTGGGCATGAAACCACAAGCAAGGAACTTACTCTGAGGTGGTTTGTGGGATTGTGAACATCTACCAAAATAACAAACATAAGAAGATATCTAGGAACAGTGAGTGTGACTCAGTGGTAGGACACATGCTTATAGCATGCTTTGACACCAGCATTATGAGAAAAAGAAAGGAAAGAAAGGTAGAGACAGAAGGTGAAGGAAGAGCGAGGGAAAGGAAGAACAGGAGAATAAGGAATAAACCAGTGACTGACCCACAAGTTGGTGGCTGTCATGCAGGACACATTTTCCTTACCATTTAGGCTACTGAGAACAACTTTGGTTTTCTTCAGTTTTTAAAAATAAAATATATCATCTTCCCTTCCTTCTCCTGTCTACAATCTATTCCCTTCCCATGCCCCTTCCAAATTCATGCCTCCAATTATTATTGTCACACACACATGTAGTATGCATGTATGTATGTATGTATGTATGTTTTATGCATGCATGTATGTATATCCTTCTGGGTCATTTTAATGTTTCTCGCATATATGTGATTTCAGTGATGACCAGTTGGTACTGGATAACCAATTAGTGGGCTCATCCCTGGGGAAGACTATTTCTCCCAGTCTAAGCATTTCTTAGTTACTTTCAATTCTTTATCTAGGGGTGGGACCCTGTGAGATTTTCCCCTTCTACTTTTGCAGGTCTGTTTATGTTGTCATTGTTCAGGTCTTGATTAGACAGCCATATGGTTGAGGTATAATGGGTATAGCTTCTTTTTCATTTCTAGGAGACACAATCTCATAGCAGACTTAAGCTTTTATTTTCCTTTTCCAATAAATGTCTCAATATATTTTGTTTTTACATGGCAGGGACCAGGGGGATAGATGATAGCATCTATTCACTAATGATTTTTGAAAGCAATTTAACCTAGGCCCTCATTTTAGTTTTTATTTTGAGATAGAATCCTGATGAGTTGCTCAGGCTGCTTTAGCCCAGGCAGCAGTCCTGAACTTGCCATTGTCCTGCTTCATAGGTGCTGGGATGACAGTCCTACACCACCAGGACCTGCAAATATTTTCTTAAACTTGATTCCATGCACCAAGCAAAATGTGAAGCCCTGAGGCTAAAGAGATGGCTCATGGTTG